CAAGGTCACCTCTTTCCTGAGCGAGATTCTTTCTTGTCTGGGTGAGGTTATAATTGAGACAATCCTATCTGTTCTCGCTTGAGCGAGATTGATCTTGCTTGAGCAAGACACCTTGCACTTAGACTTCAAAATTTTCTCCTGAGTTAAATACTACCAACTCTTAACCATACTTCCTAAATTATCCAGACACTCAGCACACTTAATAATCATTCTCTAGCTCACACTGCACTTTACATTCAACAACATCATTTCACAGTATAACAACTACCCTACTCCTTATCTGGCAATTACAAAACCTTTATATTCCATATTCCAATATATAAACAATTCACATAGTTCAAGTCTACACAACCCTAATCAATAGGCATAATAATAAATACATATGATTACACCAATCTTACATTATAAGGGTGAGTTTCTTCCTTATCACTAAAAAAAATATGCAATTTTTAATATCACAATACCAACCAAACAATAATTATATCAGCAAATCAGAGCACACATACTTAAGCCACATAATTAATAAGCTCTTCTCTCAATTAAGAACTTCCTTATGCATTATGATCACAGTTATTAGTTGCCTCTAGCATTTCATGTGGTCTTATACAGATAGGTGAATAGTCGTCAGTTAGCTCTTGTACACAGATACAACATACACCATAAAGGGCCCCTTAGCAAAAGTACAGCTAGAGGTGCTTGTCAAAAAATGAGTGTGAGACCATGTGATGCATTCACTCTTAGATAGATTATGTATATATAGGAAAATGTCATTCACCACCTTACATTTTCCTAAATTACCATAATCAGCCTCATATTCCATACTCCAGTGTATCTATGAAACTATTCACACTAATTCCTTTATTACTTTTTATCCATAATATCCTTTCTTTAATTTCATTTTCATCATAATACAATTTTACCATTTTTAATCATACTCAACTTCCAAATCAAGATACATAATCACATTAATCTGCCATTCATATATAATCAATTCATCAATCAATTTGCCGGAGGTCGACACCTCTGGACTCAGCCCAAATCGTATATTATAATAGTTATATTTCATATCATACATAGAATAATCAAGTATACATCAACTCAATCACTCAAGGTCAAAGAAGCATACATCATCAACTTTTCTCATTATTTAAAAATCTCATTCAAACATATGTTTACAATAAGGAAAACACATCATCATGCTCTCAAGAGTACAAAAATATGCTATGTTCTAATGATGAGATAGAGCTCTCCTTACCTCAATGAGACGATGTTCAAAGACCAAGTTCTTCCTATATATCAGAAGATAGAGCACTTTGAGAGAGGAAAACATGAGAAATATAGAATGAAATTGAAGGATTAAGCTCTAAGGAACTTACTTAGGGTTGATATGAAAGGAAATTTGGGCTCAGATTCGGAAAGAATTTAAGCTTGAGAGGGGTTTCTCTGAGTAAAGAAACTATGAGAACAGAGAAAGAAGTGAGAGAGAGGTTTCTTGGATTACAATACAAGTTTTAGAGTCAAAATACCTTAAATACCCTTCAAAACTCGCGAATTCTCACTTGAGTGAGCCCATTCTCATATGAGCTAAAAAACTAGACAAAAATTGTAACTCTTTTGCTGATATTTTTGCTCGAGTGAGACCATTTTCACTTGAGTAAAAACATGGCAAAGAGCTACCAATTTTTGTCGTAAGTTTTCACTTGAATAAGAATACAGTTGAGAAAATCTGATCCATCATGCTTGAGCAAAAAAATTTCGCTTGAGTTAAAAGGAATATTCTCTTGGGCTAAAAAAAAGATTTTTTTTTTTAGGATTTTTTTTTTTAGAAAACTCTTCCATTTTTAAAACAAAAAAGTGCAAATGGAAATTAGGGTGTTACAATTTTCTCAACAATTCTCTTTTCATAGTTATCTTTCACATTCAATTATTTTCACACTTTCTTAATAATTCAAGCAACACCTTATACAAATCCATGCAATATGCCGAAGAGCTGCTACATCTGGACTTAACACAATAACAATTCAAGCAACATATTATACAAATCCATGCAATATGCCGAAGATCTGCTACTTTTGGACTCAACGCAAATCATTTAATTTCAAAAGTCATATTTATACTCCTTTCAAATAATACTCAAACATATATAAATTTTTAAACAACAATACACAATCATAATAATGTTCCATTGAATTACAATTAAATCATCAAACAGTTTTGTTAGAGGTCAAATACCTATAGACTTAGCTCCAATCGTACAGTTAAAATACATTAAAATTAAATTACATACTATAGTTACATTGCCAGAGATCATACTCTTTCAGTCTTAATAAAAATCATCTATCCTAAAGTTTAGCTTTTTCTTATTTTTATTCCCCAAAACATACATTCAAAATTAATAGTTTACATATATGATAATCAATAACATAAATTATAAACACTTCTTAAAACATTATTTTGCTCATAGCCTTTACTATAAATTTATATTTTGGGTGAATCTTGAACCAAATCATAGGTTTTTATACCTAAAGTATCCATTTTGATATTATAATTTTAAGAAATTATATAGATCTGCTATTTCAAATGGTGTATTTTGAATTTTTAAAGATAAAACACATAAATAAGACTTAGAATTTGGGATCAATTACCCTTACCTGAAAATAAGTCTCTTGAAATCAAAAGACGAGAGAAAATGTCTCTAAGGAATAAAATGGAGAAATAAAAGTGAATTGAGAAGATTGAGTTCTAAGGAACTTACTTGGAATTAAGAGAAAGAGATATCCAAACTTGGATTTGGAAGAGATTTGGAGTTCAAAGGTATTTTCTCTGAGAAAGGGAAGTAAGAGAACAAAGAAAGAAATGAGAGTGATTTCTTACTTTAAGATATGTATTTTTAGAAGGTCAGAATCACTTAAATATCCTTTATTCTCGAGAATTCTCGCTTGAGCGCAAGCGAGAAAATCAAACAAAAATTGCTACTTTTCTATTGATATTTTTGCTTAAGCGAGAATATTTTTGTTTGAGCAAAAATACAGTAGAGAGTTACCCATTTCTATCTTGAATTTTTGCTTAAGCGACATATTTTTTGTTTGAGCGAGAATATAAGTAAGAAAATTTTATCCTTTTTCATTTGAGTGAGCAATTTTCGCTTGAGTTAAAAGAAATATTTTTTTATTTTTATTTTTTACTTTTTTTTAAACTCTTCTATTTTGCAAATAAGAAATAAAATTGAAATATTAAGGTGTTACATTTGTAATTCTCAATGTTATCAAATTTCACTAAAAAGAAATCATTATTCAGATCTAAGATTTGTAAGGGGTCATTCTGACCCCAAATATTACCAAGTTTTTTATTTAAAAAAATAAAACTAACAGATTTTCTTAACTATTTTACTATCAAAGTATATTTCTATAGGGAGTACCATTGTTCGTAGTCCTTTAAGGGACTTTAAGGTAAAGACACATAATTAGGTTAGTTTCAAATAGATCTTGTTCATCCATTTTAGAGTTAATATTTAAATATTCTAGAACAAATTTAATAATATCTTCATCTCTTAGGATCAGATCTAGATCATAGAATAGATAAAACCTTATCTTTATATGAAATCCTAACAGAAATATTAGGATCTGAAAACACCTGATTTTCCATGACTTCTTCCCCGCTTTCTTTATGCATGATTATGTCCAATGCCTCCTCTGTAACTCACGATGTCAGCTTGACTTTCTTGTTGCTTCTATCCATGAGGTCGATTTCTTCCTTAGACCACTTCTCTACTTGGTGAGCCATTTGAGCTGCTCCCAGCACATGCTTCGGGTTCCAAGGTGAAACCCTCTAGGATGGTTGCTTATCAAAGCGTCATAGCTGATGAAGAGGAGAACAACCTAGGGTTTGGAGAAAAACCTAGCAGAGCACAACACAATTATGTTTGCAAGGAGAGAGAATAGAGAAAACTAAAACCCTTGATACAATTTTTTATTTCAAGTTTAATTTTAATCATTCTTCTACTTTTTATCTGTCACTTTTGTTAACTATTTAATATATTTCAATTAATTATACAATAAACTTACTAAATAACTTTAATTTCATCAATTAATTATAAAATATAAAGTTTTATTTATAAACTTTATCAAAAGACTCGTCACACCGTTCAGAAGACTAAAATTGTATGGCCATGTCAAAGAAAACCAATAATTTGTGGATTGCATAAAAGAGTAGGAGAATCTGATATGAACTCCTATTTTTCCTTCTTTCTGCCGTCTTTACTTATATATTACTTGATCTCTCTCATTATATTGTAGGACACTCAGAGTGATAACATTATTTTTTAAATGATTATATTTTTATATTATTTTTATCACATTGATTATTATTTCTTACACTGCTTTCAAATCATGATTAGCATGTAAGAAATGATTATTAATTTTTATAATAATTAATATAAAAGTTACATTCATAATATTTTTTTAATTAGCTATCTGTTTAAAATATTTGAACCAGCAATGCACTAAAATTAAACTCATTTATTATTAACTTTTTTTTTATAGTAAAAAATATATTGTTCGCAATATAATGAACATTAAATATGAATATTTCTTCTAACATAAATTCATATTAATATTATTTACACTACCTTGATATGATAAAATAAAAAAAGTGCATTATTTAATAACTTTTAATATATTATTCTTTTTATTATTCTCTTTAGGATAATTTGAAAGACAACGTACAATCTTGTCGACATATAGATAGTAACTACGGAATTAGTAAATATTTTTTTAAAAGTAAAGCATATCTTTATCTATTTTTTTCTAAAAAGAATTTATAAATTTTAACGAATAAATATATTTGTATTTATGGGTGAAGCCAATGAAGCATATCCGATTCGCTCTCAAAGTCCTTTTAGCACCACATGTTGTGTGTAAAATCTCTTTCAACTCAACGGGACAAATAGGGACCAAATGATTTCTTAAGGAATAAAAGAAGGAAAATCCTAATTCAAGGCCACTGTTCATTACATTCACAGGTGATGAGTATGACTCATTGTGTGAGAGAGAAAGAGAGGTATCATCACGAGTCAGTGTTAGTGCCATATATATATTAGCATATAACAAGTAAAATCTGAAACAACAAAGACAAGAACAAGTTGAAGTGGAAGAGGCTAACACAACAGATCCTCTCACGTGCACTACAACCACCCTGAGACCGTGTTTCCTCTACCCTTCTTGTCCCCATGTATGCTCCACACACTTTGCTTCTCTTCCCTTCTTTCTGGAGCCTAACCCTTTTATCTTCTTTCTTCTATTGTTTCTTTAGTTTATGTTCAATGAGTTACTTTATTTTTTGGTTTCATTTGTTGACATATGTTTGCATTTCATCAAAAGATTAAGCATAATTCTTTGAGAGATCGTAATTTCTATCCCAAATGAGTTACTTTATTAATTTTAAAAAACGAATTACTGCTTTATTTTTACTTTTTTTTATGTAAGCATCTCTTTTGTTAATTTGCTTCAAGGAAGCTATTGGCAATTTTTCTATGAGCCCCTTGATTCGGTGATTTAGTAATCTTCTCTTACATTAAAATATCTCTCTCATTTAATACGCTGCCAATTTCATATATATTCACTTTGTTTACTTCACTTCTCAAAGTATCAAGCTATTATTTTATTAGCAACAACACAAAGGGGCTTCTCAAACACAAGGTTTTATTACATCACTTATTGAGAAACTTATCTTAATTTTAACTATTCAAAATGTTTATTTAGATATTTCTGTGTAAAACAAGAAACTCGTACAGTCTCACCGACTCTTTCTTTTCAATTAATTAATACCTACATATACAAGTTTGAATTTAATAGGCAACGATACTATTTCTTACTTCATTCACGTACTCGGAAGTTCAGGTCTAATTACGAGGAGGTAGCAGAACTGATTTGGGAAAATGGCCACGTGTCGATGCATGGGCTTGGTGGGCTTCAACATACTTCCGGGGAAAAGCCCATATTGGGTGGAGCCCATGATACATTAGAGTCAATTGTGAAACAAGCCACATGGCAACAGCATTATGAACCGGGGAAGTGGGTTGGGGAAGGCCATGCCCCTCATAGTATAAACTCCATTGCTGCATCCTCTGGTGAACATGGTGCGGTGCCAACGTTGTCAAGGAGGCGAGCATGGTCCAACACCGATTACCGTGGCACAAAATTTGGTTCCAAAAATGCTAATGTTAATGTGTTGGAAGAATGTGACGTTCATAGCGGTTGTGCTAGTGCTGCTGCCACGTTTTGTAGGGACAATGATACAACCATGATCACATCCCCTTCTCTTCAATCTGCTCCAAGCTTGAAGACTGTGGAGGAAGATTCTGCTTGTCACTGTGGATCGGTACGTAACTCTTTTCTATTTAGTGTTCATTATACATACATATTTGTTTTTTTTAAGTTATTGCACAAAACACTGTAAGATTCGCTATGTATATAATTTTATTTTAAGTTTACATATATTTTTAATCATAAAAATATTACAGTCTTTTTTTTTTCTTTCAATTTTTATAAAATTTTATTTATTTTGACAAAATCAACATGATCTTAGTCTCTCTCCATGTCTTTTTAATTTTAAGAATTAAAAAAGAATAAATTTTAAAAATACACCAAAACTGAAAAATATTTTATATTTTGTGGGATTAACTTTTTCTTTTTTTATAATAGTTCAGATTCTTCCAGATTCTTCACATACCCTTTTTGTGTTTTATCGTTTTCGGTCTTCATTTTTTTCATTATCGTTTTCGGTGGATAGTTGGAAAGGTTAAAAGACATTTCGCTAAAGATAATCTTGTAACCATGTATTATTTATTTATATCATGGAAATATTTATTTATTTATTGTTGATAAAAGTCTGATTAAAAAAAAAAAATCTATTAGTAGTTCAAAATTTATTGGCGTAATTGAATATTAATTAAGACGGTGATCATGACATGTGTTGAAATCTTAATGTGCAGGACATTCGAGATAATCAAGATGACAGAGACAGTAAAGCAGAAACAGGCCAAACCAATTCTAAAAGACGAAGTCGAACTGCTGCTATCCATAACCAGTCTGAGCGGGTTATTAACTCAAGTCTTTTGGATCATTTACTGGCTAATAATCCTAACCAATCATTTGCAAACATATAAAAATAATAACAATTTTGTTTAATTTGTTCAATTTTCTAATTTATAGTAGCAAACCTTTTAAATCTTTTGGATGTAGAAAAGAAGAGATAGAATTAATCAGAAAATGAAAGCCTTGCAGAGATTGGTACCTAATGCAAGTAAGGTGAGAACTATGATCACCTGCCACTTCTTTCTCATTTATCCACAAAATGGTAACCGTTTTAGATTCTTTTAAAATTCCCTAAAATAATCATTTCTATTTTCTGTACAAGTTTACACTTTTTGAAAAAAAAAAGTTATATCAACTATTTTTCTTAAAATGTGATAAATTAGTTTTATAAAGGTCAATTTGGATAAGTTTATTTATTTTTTATACACCTCAATTTTTAAAATAGTTAATTGAATGAGAGAATTTTGAAAATATCAAAGTAATTAAGTTAATTTTAACTTATAGAAAAATTCAGTTTTTTCTTCTTATTTACTTTTCTTACAAATACTTACTAAAAATATATTTAAATTAGATGTAATTCATATATAGTTTATAATAATCACATATTCCTTTGGTGGATTAATCGGCAAAATTGCAGACTGATAAAGCATCGATGTTAGACGAGGTGATTAACTACTTAAAGCAGCTTCAAGCACAGATCCAAATGATGAACATGACAAGCATGCCCCAAATGATGGTACCTTTAGCCATGCAACAACAGCTTCAGATGTCAATGCTAGCCAGAATGGGTGCTGGGCTTGGCATGGGAATGGGAATGGTAAACATAAACAACATGGGTACTCACACAACTGCTCCAAGGCCATTGATACCACAACTTATTCAACCAACCACAATTGGAGCTAACCCTACCCTCCCTATGTTTGTTGCCCCTTCCTTTATGATGCCTTCTTTGATTCAACCACATGCCCCTGCACCTCCAAAGCCCCAACTTGCTGCATCTTCAGCCTCCAATATTCCCTCAATTCCTTTGCCTCATCCATATAACCCTAGTCTTACACAAGTATGTGATCTTAATGCATGTTAGGGAATGGTTATCATTATTTGCTCACTTTAACAAGTTTTAAAAACAAATTTTCACTTTTTTTTTTTCTAATTTAATTTCAACTTGAATTTAATTTTGATTCCCTTGTCTGTGAAACTTTTTTACATTAGCACCCCTGGGTGTTATTATATTATTTAAAGAAGTTAACCATGATCACCATTGCCTTGTACCTCAAACACTCTTTCAGTGAAATTTATGACAGTATAGGATTATACTAACAAGTGTCCTAACAATATTGGTTAAGAGTATTTAATATATTTTACTGAAAATTAAGTATTTAATGATTTTTATGCTTTTAATACAATAAAATTCCTCTCTCTCTTAATAGTTTTTTTCTTAAAAATGTCTCAATGCTTATTGCCATTTACTTAAAAATATATTTATAATAACAATTACTTTGAGTAAAGAAATAATTTTAAAAAAAAATCCTTTAACCTGTGTACTTAGATTTGTGTTTTCTTCATTTGACACAGTTATTCTTTAATTGTGAATTAAGGCTAACAAAGAATATATTGTTGCAGACAGTGAATATGGATATCCTCAACAACATGGCAGCACTTTACCGACAACAAATGAGTCAGAACAATCAAGCCTTGAGCAGCATGTCCCAACCACACAATGAGCGAAGCCGTTAAGAACAAATTAAATATTTCTGATAGGAGAAGCAAATAATGGATGAGGTACAAACGTGCTGGAGTTATACACTTTGGAATAAGTTTGAAATGTAACCACAGCAATAATCATCCATATTAATAACGTGTTTATATTTCAATTTAAAATCCCAAATCCGTAGTTTTGATGCAACATGTATGTTTATAGTTCAATGTAAAATGAGGAAATAATCATTTTTCTAAAAAATATTATAAAATTAAACTTTTTTTTTAGAAATAAATTTAACTAAATAGATAAAAAAAATGTTAAATTATGCTTAATCCATGATCTAAGACTTTCTCAATGCCAATTTAAACACGTTATAAGAAATTAATGAAAGATGTATCGTAAATGCATCCAATGACATTACATTGAGTTTGGACACGTACGCAATGCATATATAAATTTTGCATTATATATTTTGTTCCTAAGTTTATTTTTGTCTTTTTCTATTTTTTCTAAAACAAGCTCGATGATAAAAATAAACATGCACAAGACTTAAATCCTGAACTTTCACTGCTGGGGTAAGGAAAATTTTCACTTTCATTTTAAACAAAAATAGTTTTTTCTTTCAGTTTTTAAAGTAAGAGAAATAAAATGAGATATTTTCATGGAATATTTCTTATATTTTTTATTTATTTTATAAATATTTTATAACTTAGAAATTTAAAAAATACTATATTTTTTCTTCTTCTTTTATACTTCTATCCTAACATAATCTTAGAGTATTTCATTTTGTATAGTAATTAAAATATGCCATATTGCTCATTGGGTTTCTGACTTGGTCGTCTAAACATAATTTGACATAACTGTATTTATTAAATAGCTTAGTTAATATTTTTTTAAAGCATAGTTAGCTAAGAAAACATTTAGGTAATCTCAAATAAATATAAATAATTTATTACATATGTTGTTTTATTATCATTGTAACTAAAAATGATAGGTCAGATCAAGTTTTGTCAAAAATAGACTTGTCTTACTTTTCATATTTAAGCTTGATCAATTACACAATAGAGATTTTTTTTAGCTTTAATTTCACCTTATTAAAAGTTTGATGTAACTAAAAGTCAATTTTATGTTAAGTGGTTTATTTCTACATGGATTAGCTAACTATAGCGGGTCAATTATTGTGGCTGCTAGTAAACTTCAGCTGGATTGTATTAAAATATTCTCAAAAGTGTAACCTGTAAATATATTCTTTAAAATAGAGATATTGAGTTTTGTTAAGTTCATAAGTATTTGTTAAAACATTACATGAAATTGAGTATAAAATCAAAGTATCAATATATATTTATTTATTTAATGTTAAAAATTATTATTGAGAGATATTTAAAAACTTTATTACATAGTATATCTTGAAATAAATTTTTACGTCAATCTAAATTTTTCAAAAATCTAAGTTAGACTTAAAAAAAAGTAATTTTGAAGTGAATGAGTTAAGTTTATACAGTGACTGCATTTTAATCCCTACTTATCACTTGCATATGTGTCTTATTCTTATGAATATATATATATATATATATATATATATATATATATAAAATATAATATAATGGTGGAAAATCAGCTTAACATTTGTTAAATAATAGTTTAAACTTGACTTTAACTGTGAATATTAGTTATTCAATATCCAGTTTTCAAAAATTGTGTAATTTTCTTAATATTGCAGAATTTCATTATCTGAAGCATATTTCCATGGCATTTAAGAGGGCCTAATGACACTTAAAATGAAAGGTTGACATTTTTCCCACAGCGAATGATAAGAGGACATATTCATGAGATGGCTCCAAGCAAGGATGCGTCTTTACACTGCAATTATCTTGCTGTTATATCTCTGTATTAAATGGGTTTGACTAGTGGTTAGATAGAATCAAGCGTCCACAAAGGTGCACCACAAATTGGGAGGGGTCGTAGCCCAACAAAGGGACCACTAGTATTTCGTGCGGGTTCCTATTAAAGCACAAGCTTCAGCTAATTATACAAAAGTTCTTTTCCTCTAAATGATAAAGAAACAGAGAAAAATTGATGATGGGGGCCAAAATGCTGATCAGGAAATACTAACTGAAGACTGGTGATGAAGCTTGCCACTGTGGCTGTGTTGTTTTCAACTGCAAAATTGTGGACCATTGGCTGGATTGCTACTGATGCATGTTGCCAAGCAAAATAAATTTTGGACATAAGAAAAAATATATATGATAGACAATGGTCCAGTTTGAGTAAACTCGTAAAAAGATTTTTACAAGAAAAAAACTAATATAACAAATAAATAAATATCCTCTAATAAATTAGAAACAACTTATATTTTTTAAGAAATTTTAAGAAGTTCTAAGTTTCTCTAAATTTTAAATAAAATATTATTTTTAACATATAACTGAAGTTTTTTTTTTTTTTTATGCTGATTTTTTTTAATGAAAATTTTTCTGTAAGTGCATCCAAACTTTACTAATGTAAATGATAGAGTGTGAAGATATAAAAAGAAGTAAAAATGTTAGATAAACATATATTTTGTAAGGTTATTGGTTTTGGTCCTTAATAATTAATAACATGACTAATCTAATTATTGATGTATGTAAATTTTTGTGTCATGTGTTACTTTGTTGTGAAATCACCTCAAAGAAAAAGATTAAAAAAAACATAATTTAAAACTATAACAACTAAATACAAAGTTGCAGAAATTAAACTAAAATCAGAATAAGATAAGATATATTTTAAGAAAAATATATATCTAAACTAATATATAAACAAGATCATGCTTCCTATGGATGATTGATTGAACCAACAAAACAATTTGTTGTGAAACATTACATGGAGAAGCAAAATGAGTATGATTTCTTAAGGCTTACCCGAGCCCACATAACATTTTGCCGTCCTCCCTTTAATAAATAATGCTAATTATTCATTGTCTACAGCAATCTCACACATTACCAGCAATGATGCAAAACTTTCCTATATTAAACCATATCATGGCTGATAGAACAGGTCTTTTATCTCAAAGATGGAAACACTTTACCAATATCTTATAATCATCAAATCAACGTCAATACTTAAGATGGGCAATTGATTTAAAAATGTTATAGTTTTTTTAAAATATACATATTCTCAGTTATTCACTAAAAATTATTAAAAATTAAAAACAATAATAATAATTAAATTAATAGTGAGACACATATTTAATTGACAAAAACTATAAGAGATCATCGTTAAATTAACATTGGAAAACATTTAATAACACATCACTATTGTTTAAATACTAAGAATGTCATTAAATTGAAAAAAATCATTCATGTAATAATATATGCTATATATGATTGTTACTTTTGTCTAAATTTCTAATTGAGTACAAGACATAAACATGTTATTTTATAAAGTTTAATTTTATTTTATTAATGTCTGAATAGACCCTTCTAAAATAAATATATTATATTTATCTCACTGAGTATGACCATATATTTTATATTATGACTTTATCAAGAGCTTTATAAATAATTTTTATTCCATAAAAGAGACAAATATTGTATAAATCATTTATCTTCTTTTACATAATTTATTATATGTCTATCTAATTTTATGATTACCTTATTACATGTCAAATATTAAAATAAGAGTTTCTTGCGTAAAATCATAATAAAATTAAGTTAGAGGATTATATATACTTTTATCACATTTAGAATCATTTTTAAAAGATATGCAACAATCCATGTAACATTTTCATGGTGAATCAATTAAATACGTAAAAATTTGATATCTCATATTCATGATTTATGAAATTTGATTATCAATTTACTCACACAAAATTTGATTATCAATTTACTCACACAATAGTTTTAATATTATACCACTCTAATATTCATAATTGATTAAAAATATTTTAAAAATAATATTAATTAAGATCTCATAATTAAATTCTTTATTTAATATCATATAAATATGTATTTACTATTCTAAGTAAATCATTATATTCCTTATAAATATATAAATATTAAATGCCTTAATTTATTAAAATAAATAATCATAATACAAATAATATGTTTATAACATAAAGACTTTTAGTCCATTTACTAACATCATGCTATTGCTAAACAAACCACCCTTTTATAATGATCTATACTTTCTTTTTTTTTTTGAAACTTTATATAACTCCTTTCTTTAGATAAATTTTATCTTAATATTTATCTTGTTAACTATACTTTATCTTTCAAAAGTTTCCTTTGTATATGAATAAGCCTTTAACTTCAAGGGCTTGAACATATTAGTAGATGTATTGAATCTTTAAATAACCTTGATAGGTTTTACCAACCATTCATTAAATATTACTTGATCGATGATCTATAAAATATTCTTTAACTGTATTTTCTTACCAAAGATGACATTGTTAGTAAGACGATATTCTATATTTAAATGTTGCATTGACCTCAAAATTTTAAGGATCAATAAAATTTAGATACTTTTGGTTAAAAGATGTATACATAAAAGTGTCTACATATTTGAAATAAAACATATTTTTGAGCATAAATAATGTCCAAACACATCACTTTGACATACCATTACTTTATTAAAAAATAAAACATAACTTTATTTCATATAATTATTATATCTATTTTTTAATTTTTGTCATTTGTTGGTGATGTCATAATACTATTACTTTATACATGAATGATTGTCTTTGACTTCAAGAGCTTGAACTCATTAGTAGACATATTGAGTCTTCAAATGATTCTCAATAAATTTCCTAAAAATCCATTAGATATTGCTTGGTTGTTCCTTCAAATAATTTATGAAAAATCTTTCGACTGCATATTCTTATTACCTTATTAGTAAAAATGACATTTTATGCTTAAATGCTGCATTAGCATCAAAATTTTGAGGATCAACAAACATTTAATACATTTGGTTGAAACATGTAAATATTAAAGTATTTACATGGTTAAAACACAAGTGTGAATAATTAATGCACAAACACATCACTTTAGCATACCATTACTACATTAAAAATTACAGCATAATTTTATTTTATATATAATTATTATATCTTTATTTTTTAATTTGTATCATTTGTTGGTGATGTCATAATGCTATTATTGTCCCTCCTCTTTTTCAGAGTGTGTTCTTAACCAAATAATTAAAAAACATAGTATGTTTTTATTTTAAAAGTGACCACCTTTGTTCTACGAATAAGAATCTTGTTTAAGAATAACGTAGCACAGAAATTATATTTAAGAAAAGAGAAATT